TTATGTATGTACACTTTGTAGATATATCTCAAATAAATAAATACCTACTATTAATTAAGTAAATTCACTCGTCAAAGAATTTCAATATCTGTAACTGTTCACTATAAATGCGGTTAATTACGAATGTTTAGATTGATTACAAATGTGGTCTTTGCAGATATTAAACCTAATTATATTCAGTATTCATAAGCAAGTTCGCAGAAGTTATGAAGCTGTTTCATATTAATATATCTACGTACCTACATTCAAACTCAAATTGTATGGGACACGTTTTCGAACAAAACCGTTTTGGCAAGACAATCAGCAGTTTGGATCTTGTTGTTGTGTTCAATTTCTAATGGAAATTTACTTTGTAATTGATTTTGATTACTAATTAAAATAGTTGTTTGCGGAAATTAAATGAATTTGCATATTAAGATGTTATCCGTAGGAGGAAACAAATCTCTTCCAAATTAATTATACTACTACAGTATAGTATGCATAGATAATGATCTGGATGATCTAGCTGGTTTAGCATCAGCAGCAAGGTTTAGCACACCGGTTTACTTCTGATGCTCGCGTGTTCAGTACCTCGCTTAATACAAACATTTTATATTCTTAAGTAGGATTGTTGTATTGTTATATTGGTTTAGGTATTTTTGTATATATTATATATGTATTTAAAATATATATATTTAAGTATATATATCACTTGTCTAGTACCCATAATACAAGCTCTGCTTAGCTCGGAACTAGATGTCCTTGTGTGAATGTCTTTGGGCTATTATTATTTATAATACGTAAATACATCTCATTTTCATAACATTATATAATCATAAAAGTATAGAAAATACAGGTAATTACGTGTAACTTAAAAAGTTACACTTACTTTTTGGTTTCTTGCCATAACCATCACATTTAAAATAAACATTTTCTTGGCTTCCCACTTTCATTAGCATAACTTGCGTCATAAAAGTTTCCAGGCTGTTTTTCTACGTAATTGATGTATTGTACAATATATCTTGCTTAAAAAATACATAGTTCTTATTTCTGTGTAAGCTGTGAAATTATAGGACACTGAAGCTTACCGATTTCTCAGAAATATCAATATATGATGATAATACTAATAATAGTCTTAAGCTAAACTGAGTTTGTTAATTGCGTACTAAACAAATGTTATAAATACATCTTTCCTCTCCGCATCCTCTCTTACTACATATATATACGTTTTGTAATATATATGTAGTAAGAACCAACCGATACAAACAATCATACTCATGAATACAAATGTTTGCACCGTGCAAGGGTTCGAATTAGACCATTCTTGCTACTTAATATGGGGAGGATTATCAGATTGGTAGCTGTTACAATTACATAAGAAAAAATATTTAAATAAATATTCTAGCAAGATACCATTTAAATACAAGACAACTCTTAATTTTATATACTTTAACAACTGATATTAACATCCATTAGGACAATTGCAATCTCGGTTATCTGATACTATAACACCGTTGTAAGTAGTTAATAATGTAGAGGGTAGCATGATTGATTACAAGGATCCATTTATTATACCCAAAGGGAGCCCAAAATTTCGATATCCATCAACAGTTTCAAATCAATGATTATAAGCCTAGCAATACATTTTCGACTATAGGTTGCACTAGCCATGCTGACTACTGAGTCCCGGTTAGCAATATAATTTAAAAAATCAAAACTAATATAAAGTGTCATGTGCTATGATTGCGTAAAAACAAATCATTGAAAGAACATTGACTTTTAATTAAATGTATGGTAAGTTAACTTGCATTATAAGATTTTACTTTTTCTCTTATAAACAGACACCAGAGAATAATTCAATGCAATAACTATTCCCTGAAATATACAAAACATAATACGTGATCATGTTTTAAATAAAAAAATTAAAGTTATTACATAGAATTGAAATATTTTTAAAATATGTAGACATAAATAACAACAATTCTCCGCAGCTGGAAATTCGGGATGCATTATAGGTGGAAAACGGAATAAACGATATTTGCCTTGAATTGAACACGGATTATGTATAATAAAACAAAGTTTTATTATCGTGAAAAATGCAATGTGAAAATATATGAATATTTTCACATTACATTTTTCACGATATTAATTAAAGTAAACCTGGTTCAAATGTTGGCCAAAGTTTACAATTTATTACATTAAATTAATTTTACACATTTTCATCCCAGGTCTCTTTGTTACTTGTTAAGAGAACATAATGCTAACGACATCGTTAAATAAATAATAATAACCTTCAACTATTCACACAGCTCTATCAAGTTCCAAGCTAAGCTGAGCCTCCATTATGGGTATTAGAGAACTAATATAATAACTTCTTTTAACATAATACTCATAGACAACACCCAGACCAATACAAACAAACAAACTCATGAATACAAATGTTCGTACAGTGCAAAGATTAGAACCTGCGACTATCGTTAGTTAAGAATAACCCTTCTAATGGACTGGATAGCATAAGCTAAGCCGCTAGACTACATAATGAATGTAGATAAAGGATAGAAGACAAAAAAAAAGGTAATTCACACGGCGCCAATTAATCCCAAACTAGGGGGGAAGGGGATTGTTAGTAATGTGGACTCATGACCCCATTACTAGCAATGCACCATGTCAGGTTGACCTCCATGCGGTTCCCCCTGGAAACCATCGTGATAAATTCATGGCGAATTTACCACGATGGGCTAACTGACCTGATCTCATACTCATCTTGTCATCCTCCACTGGTGCACCGCCAGCGTAAACCGTTAGCGCAGGCGGGTGCACCATTCCACTATTATTCACAAAAAAATCACAAACTAATCAAAGCTTTTATTGGTATCAAATAGATGATACAGAAATATTTAAATATACTTTATGTAAATAAGTACTTAATATTTTTTAATTGTAAATGGAATGACAAACAGCTACTTGATGATAACCGAAATCGTTGCCTATACAATTATACATGTACGTGTGTTACGATCATATCACCCGCGATGCCACTTGTTACTCCAGAGGACTAATATGTCAGGCCTCTTATTCCGTAGTTTCACTGTCTAATCTGCATTCTACAACCTGCCTAAAATAGGTGAAACTGATGTATCTATGCAACGACGTATTACAGTCTGACTATACATATATATATATATATACATAGTCCAACTTACGTCATATATATATATATATATATATATATTTATTAAACAATAAGTGAGGACTATTTAAAAGTGTTTTAAATTTTAAGTTTATTTGTGTAAATTATTTTCTATTCTATTCTAAACATAATATATGTATTCTAATGTAGTTCTCAAAGATATTTATGAAATCACAAACACGGAAAATGCATAAGTAAATTAATATATGTATATTTGATAGTGAATTAACATCCCTAACGTTAAGTAGTAGTGCATTCTCAATGCGATATGTTCAATTCTAACTATAGTTAGTTATACAACTACAGTTAGATATGTGGAGCTCTATTTATCCTAGATTCCCCCATGGAGACGTGCTGCAATCATGGCCGCCAATGACACTTATTGCTTCACTTGTTATGTTGTTAACAATCATCAGCGTGAATTGCTCACTTCCTTGCTTGTTGATCAATGAATGATCGCGTGATAACCTCCTTTTTAGAGAGCGCAAGAGGAGAACTTGTTTATTTGTGCATACAGTAGGTAAATATTATTTTATACATAATATATACTAATATATTATTTCATATACAAATTAAACGTAGTTGATGAACTGCGGGTTTAAATTACGATTCGAGTTATTTTAGGTTTCAAACATCTTAACCGGTTTAAATCGATACAAATAATAAAAATGACTGTAGTTTGTACATGGAAGCTATATGAGGAATACTATCATTGTAGTACTACACACTTATAGATCAACGTAACAGAACAAAACCTAATAACTGTTAGAATTTTAACCTGTTTGCGAACGCTAATTTCAGAAATAATTGACTCGATTTGAATGGGGTTTTTACTAATGCATTGTAGTAATTTTTTTTTATTTATTTAGATTAACAAACATTAATTCATATTGTTTAAGGCTATTTTATTACAAACTTTGTAGTATTTATGTTACCACGTTTACCACTAATTACTATAATATTATGCATCTTAAAGTGCATTAAAGACCTCATGAATCCATAACATCTAAAATTACCTTACATTTATAAAATAAACAAAAAAAAATCTTCATTAAAGCACTAAAATCTTTGTGTCTTATTTATTCTAATCACAGTTTACGCGGACTCAGTTGGCCGTTAATATAAGTTACTATGTGAATACACACCAGTAACTCATACAATGTCCTTTCATACATCTGTAATGCACTACATCGATTCAATGCAGTATAAACACAGTCATAAAGGAAACATGAATAGCCATTCGACCCGATCGCCAACTTTTTAATTAAGCGAATGGAGGGGACCGCAACGGTGGCTCAGCACGCTTACTATCAATACCACTTTCAATTTATACAAATGGATTAGTCTGGTGCACGTTCGGTACTACTAAACTCATTCGTGACGAATGCAACTATATGGAAGTTTATTGGTTTATGGTATAACTTGGGTGTGGTTTGGGCCCCGATTTACAAACCATAATTGTTGTGAGTTTCAATCTGACTGACAATAACAATTTCTCGGCTTTTTGTATTATAATATGGATGTATTATACATATAAACCTTCCTATTGAATCATATTTGAAAACTGCATTAAAATCCATTGCGTAAACAGTTTATAAAAATTAAACAAACCATACAGACAGCCGTGTTTCGATATGTATAGATAAGAGATGATTTTAATAAAATAAAAGTAACCTCCACATTAGTTACGTTTAACTTACATCAGAAATGGAAACGTATACTTTCAGTCATAAGGTTTTAAACAATAGCAATTAATTGTTTATTCGGCTTTACAATTGTGACCTCCAGATTTTTAAGTAAATAGGTAGCTAGAAGTTTTAGGTGAACTTACCTGTTGTGGGCTCGAAAGGACAGTCGAAGCGGTTCTGAGGACGGCGGCTGGTGGGGCGCGGCGCGGCGGTGCCGGTGTTGGCTGAGCGGTTCATACGCCACCGACTGCCAATGTCTTACGAACGGCGTCAGCGACAACCCTGCAGACAAATTATAGTCCATTCAGTATATGATTAAAAGATATGACAGTGAAATTATTGAGTATGAAAGCATTACATATGTAATATTGTAACATTGTTATTTGTTTCTAATTTTACATATAGATACCGCTAACTTCAAAACCAAGCCGTGTCCCTATCTTAGATTAGTTCTTCTATCGAAAATGTTTAGGGTTGGCAACGCGCACGTGACAGCGTTTCAGTCGTCCATAGGCTACGGTAATCGTTTACTATTATATGTGCCGAATGCTTGTTTGACACCTACTTGGTATAACAAAAGAATTAAGTTTTGTATTTGCTTACAGAAAATTATTAAGAAATCTGTCATGCAATGAGTTGACTCAATTCTGAGGATATTAGAGAATCATATATTTATGTGATTATATACTTGTAATTATGAATACGAATGGCAATGCATGAGGGTAACATAGATGTCTCATAATGATGTGATGCCAGTGGCGCTGCTTCTTTCCATCAGATGTCTGTTTTGCCATTGCCGTTGTATAAAATATGTGTATTCTGTGCTATTAATTTCGATAATACAATTTGGGTATCACATGATAACGTGAAACCCGTAGTGCTCATATATGTATATAGGCGCCGGTTAACGCTTACCATAAAGTAGGTCGTTAACTTGTTTACGATTGCTATATAAAAAAAGTTTTGTAAGTACTTTATCTTTAAAGATTACCAAATAGTCTCTGTAAACGTAATAATTTGCTCTCAAAGCTTTTCTGCGATGTCAACTATTGATATACATATATATGTATAAGTATCCTATGGGATTAAAAGTACATACGATTCATAATAGAGTATGGATTTGTATGTACTTCCATATTGAATAACCACAACTGTTATATTAAAACAATGTTGGTGAGTGGCAATTTAATAAAATTATTTTGTCCATATTCATAGCAATAAACCACAATCATTATGGGCCATTAAATTATATACAGCCAGTATCGTACATACGAGTATATTGTGATTGGTGATGGCATCGCAGCTTTCCAATTTATTTTTCGCTAACAATGAAGTGCATTGAAATATTATGTTGCAGTGGTATTATGTGTATTCACTCATATTTGCGGTTATGGATGTCTGATAACTTTTCACACAGTGCTGACTGGCCCCCTAACGTTAATGTCAGTAAAAACTATATTGAAATAACAGTAAAGTTTAACGTAAGTTAAAGGTATGTATACGGTATATTTGATTTATATATATTTATATTATATGTATTGGTGTATGTATATGCATGTGTTTTCATGTGTCGTATATACTTTTTTCAACCACAGGTTGTGCAGAGAAAAATTGTAGTCTGTGCAAATATAATCAATAAGAACAACAATATGTATGCCTTAAGGCATTTGCCATATGTACTTTTACCGTGGTATTTTGTGCATTGAAGTTATATAAATAAATAAATAAAGTCAGTATTGAGAATAGACGTCCAAATTTTCCGGTAGATCTCCGATATACAACTAAACAAGCATAATCTAACATTATTACAGTTGGAAGAACAAATAAAGGGGTTCGTAATTAAAGTTAGGCAAATAATGTGTATTAATCTTTATTATTCTTATTAAAATAACTATTAAGATATAAATGACTGTCATATTTTTTACACAGGTACTGAACCATAAGCTGAACTTACTGAAAAACAATTTAATGGTTCATTAAAATTCAACTTTTCGCGATTTCGGAGTATACATAAATTATTTTATAAATGGATTCATTGGGGATCCATCGGTGGAATGGCAGGTGAGATCGGGTGATTTGCATAAAAATATCGTTAAAATACAGCCCTCGGTATATTTTAATTAATATTTTTGTTATGCTAAAGTTAGATAAATTAATGAGTTTGATTGATGACTAATAACTCTGTTATTAAACAAACGGACAATTTCATGTTAATAAACCTGTAAATAAGTTATACTTCAAAATGGAGAGAGCATCGTTGGTAGAAAAAATTGTTGGTGTTATGAAGAACGCATTAGGCAATAATTAATAACACTGAGTACGCATTAATGATAAAAATCATAACAATAAGTAATAAATAAAGAAGTATTCATATTTAGGAAAGAGTTTATAATTGGAATATAATGTGATAAAGTATAAAATTATAACAATAAGCGACATATTGTAAATTTAATTATACCTCTCTTTTCATTTGATGGAAATATAAGCAAAATGAAAATATCGGTAATATTTTTAAATTCTATTAAAAAAATACTCCAACTATAGTCTAATGGTTAAACATAATGAATAAACACATGAATATAATACAACTGTAATTAATAAAATTAATCACTCAAAAAGAACCATAATTCAATTTGAAATATGCCGCTTATTGTTAAGATTTTATACTTAATCATATTACATTCCAAATACAAACTCTTTCCTAAATATTAATACTTCTTTATTTATTCCTAAATTATATTTAAGTACGTCATAATAATAGGAAACGGGAGCACCAAACTTGAAGCAAATAACCGTTACCACCGGCGATATCAAACATCTAAACTCTGAAGTGGCAATTTACCATCCGAAACGGAAATATGAGCTTCAAGTTGTACCTAATTGGAAAATCAGGGGCCATATATTTCCAGTGAGTCGACCTCAGGGAACATCCTTGGATTTCGAAGCGTCTAGAAATCGGGAGAGTTAGTCTAGATTAGGGTTGCTATGCCGATTTAGTAGCACGTTAGATGGTTAGTAACCTATAGGTATTCGACGTTTCGCAAAATTAAGGAGCACATATCACATATACAGTTCTAATAGAGATCTGAAGTTATCGAAGGCTCATAAATAAAATTATTAAAAGTATCGTTTATATACCATAATGTGTACAATTGTAAACAATCATGAAAAAAGTTTAAAACAGAAACGTGCATATTTAATTATTCTCACTAATATATTCATAGATTTATTTGTGAAGTACTTTTACATTTTATTATTAATATTATAAATGCGATGAATGGATGTTTATTTTGACTCTTTCTTTTGCTGGATTTTGCTGTAATATAACTTTACTGTATTATAGCTTACACATCAGAATAACATATAGGCTATAAATTTTACGCGGATGAAGCCACAGGCATAGCTAGTACTACATAAAACATTAGGCACGTGAACTACTACAACGTACGTAAAAAAAAAATACAAGTATCTACATATGTCAATTCGATTTTGTTATGAACGCGCAAATTAATTTTTCAAACAATCTGTATAGATTATTTTTAGCCCTGTACAATAAAATATTCTAAAGAAAATACAGACATTCATAATTTGTTGATTACGGACAGGCGAATACCCCCTAGACTTTTTTGTTTAGATACGTTACATTTTTTTCTATAAATTATAAAGCAAAACCGAATTAAGAGTTCCTTAATTCCGTTTTGCTTACGAAGAAAGATCACCAATATTGTTACTTAGGTACAGGCCTGCATTACAACACGAAATATTTTTTTATACCATGAATCTATGTAACAAATTTTGTTAAGTAATTGTTTGCATAGATACAAATTTGGTATAATTCTTAAAAAGGTGCCAACTCCTGTAAAATGTAATGTTACTCTATATATAGGAATTCCTTATAGCATTACCACTACCTACTTTTAATGTGGTACAGAACATTCGAAAAATGATAGTGTAACTAAAACCAACAGAGAAATCTCGGAATTATATTGCGAAGCGAGATAAAACGGAGAAATGTTTACACAATAATGGCGTCACATTGACACATTAGTAAATATCAGACGTGCCTTGCAATTGTGTACAACACATATTGCGAAAAGTAGTCGTAGACTTGCAAACTTGTGAGTTACGACGCGCTCGTGTACTACGGAACCTTAGTGGATCCTGAGTGTATAATTTTTCGCGCCATTTGCCGATGGACGTGGTAGCGACGTCAGCGCGGGCCGACGTGACCCTTTCATATTTTGTGTTCTAAAACTTAAGCGAGTAAATATTTGAACAGTAACAAAAATGAGAATAATTTTCTGCTCCGAAGATTGCTTACATTTTTGTATATTAAATAAAATTTTAATAAAATGTGGAAGAATGAGAAAAGATTCTTTAATACGGGAATATTCTGGTTGAAAATTTAATTTTAAAACACAGCGCACGATCTCGATCCGAACAATGCGAATGAAGCATGGATATTAGAACTGATAGAATATATAAATAGGTATGTTATTTTTGTAAATAGTCATTTATATTTCAAACGAATCGATATTAAAAAAATTTCCAAAAGTGCTTCATTGCAAATCTGCATTGAAAAATTTAATTCAATACTCTATAATTAAGTACCTTTATATACTTAAACAAAACTTTAAAAAATAAAAAAGAATTTACCCCAGTACATTTTTTTTGTAAATACCTATTAGGTTTCTAAAACTACCCTTTAACGGTCCTAGCCATTTCGTACCCGGTCGTAAAGAGTCTTTGGATATTGAACGAAACGTTTTATTGTACTTTGAGATAGCGCAGTTTGTACTAATGTTTGTGATGCCACTGAATTTTCCGCTGGTGATTTTGGTTTACTTCTTTATTTGAATTCAAACAATTTGTAAAAAAGTAATTACTGTAGAAGTCGAACAAAGAAATGTAACAAAGCTATTAAGACGAAATACAGAAATAAACAAGAATATTAGGCCTCGATGGTCTTTCTAATGGTCGTAGTTTCGATTCCTTGCACGGTACAAAGTACTCGGTAGTGCTTGTTATTATATTTGTGTACTTGCACTAATTTCAGCATCTATTTACTATATACCAGTGTTTATGCGCATAAAGCTATTCTCCTGTTTGGCATACAATTATTAAGTTAATTGTAAATATTGTTTAATGTTATATTTAATAAAACAAATCCCACCATTTGTATAGAATACTACATCAATTCGAATACAAACATCAATAATTATTTCAAAAAAAATAGGGCCATTTAATATAACGCAAGCAATACCTACCTTGTATAGATTCAA